ATGACTACTTCAAACCAAAAGCATTAAAAAACTAACAGATCTAATGCAAACACTTCCAACTACCCCAACTCAAGAGAAGAAATGAGATGCTGCTCTGTGTGTTGGCTGAACTGAAAGTGAAACAAAAATTAATCAGTTTTAGTTTTGGTTTTGCTTTCACTTGCAGTCTGAGATGAAGTAAGAATTTATGCTTTGATTTTGTTTTGACCTGCACAGCCAATTAGGTGAATTCATAACTTGATTTTTTTTTTATTTGGATTATGTGAATGTATTTACCCTCCTGTTTACAAATCAATAAAACATATATGTACTCTCTCACATACTTCCTAGGGATAATCACCTGAAAAACATTAATTAATGTTTGAAACTGCCAAGCTGGCCTAATATTTTATTGGCATCCATTCATTATTACTAATTAATTTTTTGAAGCAATGGGTTTTTAGAAATGAAAAATTTCCCACAGCAAAATAAAGCACTGAAAAATTTTCTGCCCCACATCTCTGGGTGACATCCCTGGAGGAGGGCCCCTCAGGTGTGCAGCACCCTGTCCCACCGAGCTCCCCGGCTGCAGTTTCCACCAGCAGCTCAGAGAACCCTGGTCAGCACCTGTCTTGCCAGTTCTGCAGCTGCAGGGCCAGCCACGAGGCCATGACACCGCCAGCAAAGGCATCTCCTCTCCGGGGGATGGGAGGGCCCAGCTGGGAGCCTGCACGGTGCACCTCTCCAGAAGACACCACCCAGAACCAGACACCATCGCTGCGAGCATGGGCTGAGCAGAGATGCCAGCCACACCCATGTGGTAACACCTGCATGGGGTGGGCTCGCCCCTGCCCCCAACTCTGTTCCCCCCTCCTCACCTGGCCTGCCCCAACTCCCCTGGCCCTGGGGTTCCCCCACCACACCATGCAGAGAGGCGGGAGACAGTGCAGAACTTTATTGAGCACCCTGTGCCCCTGCAGTGAGGTGGGCACAGGCCACTCACATGCCAAGGAACTCGTTGATGCCAGTGGTGATGTCCTCCTCAGCTGCAGGGGGCAGGGATGTGTAGCATAGCCGCAAGTAGCCCTCCAGGCAGCGGCACAGGTTGCAAGGCAGCCTGGGCATGCCCCCTATGTCATTGTAGCTCAGAGTCCCATAACAGGTGTGCAGGCGCACTCAGGGCACCATGGTGATCAGCAGTAGGGGATAGTGGGTCGGGCATCCCTTGCCCATGCAAACAGCTCCTTGTGCACTGCCCATGACACACAGCAGGGTAACACTTGAGGCGCAGTGTTGGCATGCCGGGGGCCTGGCCCCTGGGCACCTCCCCAGAAAAGCCCCATGGGGAAGGCGAGGGTACAGGCATCTCCTCATCCTAGGCATCCAGGAACCCTGTGCCCCCCGAGCCTGGGTGCTGTGGGCTGGGTGGTGGTACAAGGAGAGCAGCTGGCCTGCAGGAGAAGGAGGAAGAGCAGGGTCTGGAGCTGCAGCAGCAGGTGTTGCCAGAAACCTGGCCTGTCCCTCCCTGGGAATGGACTGAGGGAGGCAGTCTGTCTGCATCCAGCGGCATGCTGGCCCCTGGAGAGCAAGTGGGGATGGGGAGTTCGATTAGCGGCCACCTGGGCCTGGGGCCTGCCCAGCTGACTTACCACGGTCTTTGGGCACCCATGCACGCCCAACCCCCAATCTGAGGCTGGGCAGAGCATGGGCCCCTGGTACAGAGCATCTTATCTCAGAAATGTTGCAAACTCTCACAAACAGCTTCTGTCTCATGGCTCTACAGCAACGGTGGGCAAAATGCGGCCTATAGGCCAGATGCAGACTGCCAGGCCATTCTATCTAGTCTGAGCCCTAAAAAATTTAGAAAATTAATAGTTGCCTGCCCCTGGCTGCCTATCATGCGGCCCTCAATGGCTTACCAAAACTCAGTAAGTGGCCCTGTGCCTGAAATAATTGCCCACCCCTGCTCTACAAGGCCCATAGCTGCATGTGGGGGACAGGCCACCCCTGGCAGCAGGGACATGGCCTCAGGATCACTGTCATCCACAGCCAGGGACCCACAGATGCACTGACTCTGCCAAAAGAAGACCAAGGACAGGACCCTCCTCCTGCAGCAGCTGGTGGTCATGTCATGGGACAAGCTGGAGGACTCATGGGCCTGACAGAGAACATTGCTCACAAGGAGGCGAGGGACCAGTGTGAGGAAGCGCAGGACCAGGCAGACCAGCAGTTCTGGGCTGAGCTCCTGGTCATGGAGTATGAGCTGTTCCAGGTGCCACGGGAGTAGAATGCCATCCTGGGCCAGGTAGTGCAGGCCACAGACAACTGGTGCCAAACATCATTCTGGCCCTGGTGGTCATGTTTGTGCTGCCCACTGCGTGGCCTCCAATCTTAGCCCTGCATGCCCCCTGGCAGTCATCCACCACCCTGCAGCAGACCCCCGCCTAGGTCTGGGAGGAGGTCCTGCAGCACCTCCACTGGCCTGGACCCTACCGTGGGTGCCTTGCCAACCAACCCCTCCACCCAGGCCCAGCCCTGCCACTCACCCCAACTCTATGTAGGCACAGAGACGGAGCTGCCTGCAGAAGTGCTATGACCTCACTCTGGCCCTGCTGGGCCTGGACTGCCTGCCAGCGGGGAGTTGCCATTGCCCCTGGGTGAGCCCCCCCCCTGCCACACTCACTGTAGCATTTGCACCCGCAGAGAAACAGATGGAGGCCAGCATGCTTGCCACCTGCCTCCGGGCTCTGCCTCCTAGGCATCCCCACCCCATGACGCCCCACCCTGGGACAGCCCCCAAAGGACATTGTAAATCGTTTTCATGGGGAAGAACATTTTTTATTGTTGGTGGGTAGGTTGGGTGGTGGAAGGGCTCCGCTTGTTGTGGGGGAGGAGGGCTCTGTATGCTGAGGGGAGAGGGGGGGCTCTGTTTCTTGGAGAGGGGGGCTCTGGGTGATGTGAGGGAAATAAAAACCTGTTCTTGTGAGATGTGTGCGCACTGAGCATGGTGGGCAAGGGGGTGGGGAGGGCCATGGGCAGCTGCGCAGGCAGACTAGAGCGGGAAGTGCTAAAGGATGTGGTTAGCCGGGGCCTCTCGCATCAGGTTCCCTGGCACCCGCTGGCGGGTGTGCAATCCTCCTGGGGCTTGGGTAGGGGTGCCAGACACCACCACTGCAGGTGGTGCTCCCACTGCCAGGTGTCCTCTGTACGCCACACCTTCTCCACCCAGGCCTTGCAGAAGAGCTGCCCCTGAGCCTCACAGATGTTATGCAGTACACAGGCTGCCATGATGACCATGGGAAAGTTGTCCTCAGTGACCTCAAGGCGGGTGATGAGAGTGCACCAGCGTCCCTTGAGGTGGCCAAAGGCACATTCCACCAGGGTGTATATCCGATCCAGGCAGCAGTTGAAGTGGGCCTGGCAGGGATCCAGGGGGCCGGTATAGGGCCACATGAGAGCCAGGACAGGAGTGGATAGGTGGAGTCTCTGATGAAAAGGGAAGGGACAGCCACAGTGCCCAACTGCAGGTCCAGCACTCCCAGTGTGAAGCGGCCACCCTCCATGAGGCCTAGCAGGCCAGAGTTCCAGACAACGCAGGCACAGCAGGCCAGCAGGGCCAGTGAGGAGGCCAGCAGGAGCCCAGGGCACTGGTCATTGCTGCCAGGGGCAGGGGCAGGAGCAGCCATAGTGCAGGGAGACAGAGAGGGTAAAGAGAGAGCTGCTACATGCTGCTCCTGCACTGCACACGCTGCTCCTGGGCAGGCAAGTGGCTGGCCAGAGAGCAGAGCTGGCTTTTAAAGCTGGCTGTCGGGTGCTGGCAGCTGCAGCTGGAGCCTAGAGCTCCCCACATTGGCAGTAGGGGCCCATTGCAGGGCTGCAGGAAACTTGGTGCAAATAGCAGCAATCTACTCCCTAATCCTGACATGTGTAGACACCTTTCCAAAAGGGCTTACACCAAACTAATTTACACCGGAGTAAACTTAGGCCAGATCAAAAGCATGTGTAGATGCACCCTCATTTACATATATTACCTTCTTTCTGCAAAGTTAATATAAACACTAGGACAGTTTGAGCCAAACATTTAAAAAGCCCTCAGTCCATACCCCAAACCTGTAGGTACCTGTCTGTACCTGATTTATGGGCAGCAAATGTTACTATCTGTGCTTGCAAATACCATATTTACTCAATTCTAAGACAAGGTTTTTACCCACAATTTAATGTTGGGAGAAAAAGCCCTTGTCTTAGGTCTGAGTATAGGGGTGGGGATGGAGTGCCTGTCCCATCCCTCTCCTCCCCATTGCCTCTGCATCTTGCTACCTCTCCCTAGCAGCCTCTTTCCCCTCCATCTTCCCACCGACCATGGAGCCCCTGCTCCCCAACCTGCCCTTCTCCCTCCCACTCTTACCCTAGCTCTATGCTGGTGGCTCCATCCCTGGTGAAGTCTGGGACACTAAGCATGGCCTTACCTCACCCTGTATCAGCATTGCAGAGCCCACATGGCTGCTGTGGTGGCTGGGCTAGGGCTGTGCTTCATACTATTATCCAGACTAGAACAGGGACAGAGCCTGCTGGCATGCAGCAAGCATAATGGGTGGGGGAGGGAAGTGGGGAGCAAAAGCTAGGCGGTAGGGGCAGGAGTGAGAGCAGAGGGGGAAGGGGAGGGCCCAAGGCTATGGGAGGGCTGGCAGGGGGGCAGGTACAAGCAGGGGACAAGATGCTGGACCTCCCCACACCACCTGC